CGCGGAGGAGCTTTTCGGCTCGGCCGACGCGTCGATTCGGACGAAAACGATTTGACCTATCGAGGAGGAAACGTAGACGAGAGAAAGGAGGATGTTGGCAAAGCGCCAAGTTTGCGCCCCTCCGGCAACGTAAAATTCTTGCGAGGCGTTGCTCTGCGGACTCCGAGGAAACGAATGCACGATTCAATGTGTTCTCGCGTGTTACAGAAATATCGACTCTCTATAGAACTGCGTTCGAAATCTACTTGGCGCATTCGTCTAGAAACTATGATTACTCTAAGTCAGAAACCACTGCTAATCCCTTCGAAATACACTGAATTCAATTTATACTTTCTACAACCTCTCCACCATGTTTGCTACGAGTAATCGTGGATCTATGATTCCCTAGGATCCTCAGAACGATGCCTCGCAAGAATTTTAGCTGTCTGAAAAGCAACTTGGCACTTTTCTAAGATCCTTCTCTGAGCTGCGACGGTGGCCAGTCCGCCGTTCCTCCGAATTCAGTCCCGCGCCGCGAGAAATCGACTCTACTGTACACGTGCCGCGCGTATATTCGGAAATTTGAGAATGAAACGTTTCAATATTTCAAATTCGAAGTTTCCAATTTGAAACGTCGAAAGTTCCGAACCGCGGAGTGGCCACCGTTCGAGATGGATGAGCCGAGATAGCTTCCATCGATTAGAGACCGACCTGTGTGACCGGATCCTTCATGATGAGGACGTCGGTGACGGTCCCGAACATCCCGAAGTACTCCCTGAGCTTCTCGCTGCTGGTCTGCCAGGACAAGCCGCCTACGAACAGCTTTCCTGGCGCGGGATCTCCTCCATTCGGCGTACTCCTGCCGGAGCTCCCGGAATGGCTACCGTTTATAGGCACCAAGGCATTGTGAAAGTCGTGCTCGATCGCACCGTTCGCCGCCTCCATGCCGGCGCTGAAACATTAATCATCGGTCGAGGGATTAGGGATCGTTTGCGTGGGCCGCGATCGATCTGCGAATCGTCGAGCGTCACGTCGAGCGTCATTCTTTCCGCGACTCGTGAAATACGCCTTGCGGTTGTAACATATGAAACGTCTAATTTGTAGAACCAACTTGAAACGAACGCAAATCCTCCAGCGATCGATATTTTTAATCGAAATAACAATCATTGGAGTTTCTAATTTTTCAATTCGATCTTTACTAAGTTCCATATGCCGCAACCTAATAATTAACCCTCTGCACTCGAGAGACCACCACTCGATTCTAAAACTAGAAAATCTTACGCGAAACCACGTCCGATCGAGAAACGTCGGATAACTCGACTAAAAGACTCTCGACTGCAAAGAGTTGATAAGACCGTAAAAAGAATGAACAATACGATCCGTTCGAAGGGAACAGACTCAGCGCGCTCGACGCGTTCGAGGCGATTCGCAGAGGATCCCGATTATCTCGGAATCAGCTGGCGAACCCGTCGACCGGAAGAGCCACGAGCGAGGACGCGCAAATTGGTCATTCGTATTCATCGCGCATAATTGAACAACCCCGGGGTTTCGTTCATTGAAACGGCAAGCTTTTCTTGGTTACAGTGCGTCGCGACGCGGGGGATTATGCCTCGCACAAGATCTCCCCGCGTCGAGCGTCGCGGGTTCGCCCGGCCAACAGGTTGAAAGATGCGCAGGTAATCGGAGGACGCCGGGAAGAAGCTGGCGATTCCGCTCGTCGCTCCGCGAACGATTAAATCTCGTTACAATGACGCGAATAACGGGCCGGCGGCCGACGCTTTCTCGTATCATTGCATAATTGACGACTGGCTGCTACCGGTATTTTAATTACCGGCGGCCGGGCAACGTGCTCCCAGCGGCTGGCTGGCTGGCTGGCTGGCTGGCTTTTCACCGGCAATTTATTGTTCGGCCCGGAGGCAACGGTCGGCTCCCGTTTCCTTTCCGCGTTTACGCCGATGCCGCGCTGCTCTGAATATTTCAAACGAGTCGAACCGACCCTCGAATCCCGCCCTCTCCCCGGCGAGCCATCTTCGCTCGCCGATCGGTCACCCCCTTTCCTCAGGAATTCTATTCAGAAATCGCGCCGATTCCGCCGGAAAACCGCGACGAAACGCGTACATTCTGCTCGTCTGGGTTGCAGGTGATACCGCTGCTGATGATCGAGGCCTGCGTGCTCGTGTCCATCCCCCTGATCGCGCTGCACAGGATGTTCGTCACTACGATCGACGTCAAGTACGTTTATTTGGTATTTCTTTGGAATTCTTCATTCGTTCGAAATAGACGGGAGGAGGTTCCGTTACGTAAAGAGAAGATGGAGTGTTCCTCGAGTCAGCTATGGTGTAGTGCGAATGAAGAGATAAAGGGAACCGGTGCTAAGTGGGAATGTCAGATACAATGGAAATTAGAATAGAATACGACGCGAGGAATGTTCGAGTGGCAAGGCTGAGGTTTAACCGGAAGTTTTCTTCGCGCAGGCTCGGCGGCCGCAGTCGCTACGAGATCCCGTCGATCCCCCGGTTCTACGACCTACGAAACCCCCGGTCCCTCAAGGTAGGCGCCTTCTAATTAACCTTTCGCCACGCTTCTCCAATTAACCGTTACGTAGGCGGGCGGATCTCCGCGATCTCTCGCCGAACGGAAACGAGATACGGATCGTTGAATCGGGGCGTGGAATTCGGAAACGAGGGCCCATCGATTTCTCTCGCGTCGATATGATTCTCCGTTAATTGTCTCCGGCACGGAACGTATCTTTATCTCCGAGGCTGCACGCGAGTCTTGCCTCTCGTAAGCAATTTATCGGGGAATACCCAGGAGAAAAATTCCTCGCGGCCGAAAGAGACGAGGAGACTCCGCAACGATGAATTGATTATAAGACGACGCGGCTATTTTTCATGTTGTCCACCCTTCGCAGGGCTTTCGTCCTACTTATTGCGCGCGGCAGCTACGGAGAATGTCCTGAACGGTTGCAGTGTTCTCGACATTTGAGAATTTCGGAATGTGGAAGCCAAAGAATTAGAAACACAGGAATCTAGCAGTCTGGATAGCTAGACATTTAGGGACCTTAAAATTTAGGAACTTGGGAATCCAGCAGTCTGGAAAGCTAGACATTTAGAAATTCGGACGTCTAGAAATTTAGTGGCCTGAAAAATTTAGGAATCCAGAAATCTAGCAGTCTGGAAAGCTAGAAATTTATAAATCTGGACATCTAAGAATTCAGAGACCTTAAAATTTAGGAACCTAGAAATCTAGCAGCCTGGAAACCTAGAAATTTATAAATCTGGACACCTAGAAATTCAGAAACCTTAAAATTCAGGAACCTAGAAATCTAGCAGCCTGGAAACCTAGAAATTTCGAGATCCAGGCATCTAGAGATCTTGAAATATAAAATACAGAAATATGGAAATCAGTAAATCGAAGCTACAGAAACGAAGGATCGCCAGTCTCGAAAATATGCGATTCTCCGACGATACCAACGAGATCCCCGCACCGATCGCCAGCGGAATAATCGAAAGAGATAAGGGTGCCACCGCGCTGCGGGAACGATAAAGTTCACGGAGACACTGGCAGCCGGTGGTGGCATCGGGAAGAAAGATGGCCGTTGTTCCCTTTTTTCCGAGAGAACGTTCGTTCATCCCCCGCGTCCCGCGCGTCGATGTCGAATCGATAGGGGTGAAAAGACGATGCGATATTTTATTTTCGGTCCGCTGTCACCCTTCGTTACTCGTAACTGGCATCGATTCGCCGGTCCCCGTCCGGCTGCGGAAGGCGCGCAGCGGCGCCGATGGTCCCACGGGAACACCCGAGACCCGCCGCGCGCGTGTATACGTCCATCTTCTTCATCCGTCACCGTCATCGCGGCCCGATCGTCCTCTATTATCGATATTCCCAGCAGAGCAGGCTCTCCAAACTCGATTCCGATCTATTCCGCGGAACGAATTTGCGACCCGGTGCAACTGCTATTATCCGGCCGTTAACCCATCTCCTATCGAAAACGATTCTTTCCTCCAAGTTTCAAGGAAATCGTGTTTTCTCGTTGAAAACAGCTTCGCGTAAAAGATATTGAAGTTTCTTGAAAATATCGCTGAACGTTTATTCGAAGTGCTACTGTCTTCCCTGTCACACGGATTCGGGTCGAATCGAATTTTGTTGGATACGATATACGAAAGAGGGTATAGTCATGGAGAACTTTGACCTTTCAGTTTATGTTACATTGAGAAACTGTTGCGACTTGAGTTTTCAGGTTTTACTTGGCAGTGTTAATGAAACGGAGTGAAATGGGTTAAATGAAATCCTCGAGAACAAAAACCGATAGGAACTTTAATAAGTAACACCGGATGGTGTTTCGAGCGTCACTGACGATCGGATCGGGACGTTCTATGAGTGATCGATTCCTATTAGAGAAACGTCTTGCTAAACGAAAACCGTTTCGTTAATGCCAATATCGGAGACCTCGGAATATCCCATGCGAGGATGAATTATTTTCAATATTCCAAAACCGATGTTATTTTCTCAAACATTTAACCCTTCGCATTCAGAAAGAGTGCCGCATAAAATCCTCGTCCAGAAAACAGCAAGATTAAAATACGGACAGGGAGCATGCGGCTGAAAGGAAATCGAAGCAGATCAAAGGAAAGTTTGATCGAAAAGCCGCAGAATCCCCCTGGAAATCGATAGTCCGACGAGTTTCAGGGCTCTTGACCGACTGTTGCGATTTCGACGGGGCTGCGTAACCTATCGGGTCACGCGAGCGTCGGCGAGGAATGCCGGGGGATTCCTTCGGGTGTGTGCGCGTCTGTCTTGGTTCGACGCAGCATCGGGTGCAAGCTCCGTGGACGGAGCGGTCTCTTCCCCGAGGAAGCTGCTCGGGGAGAGGGTGGCGGGTCAGCATCGGTAGCATCAGCAGCATCAGCGGCGCGTTACCCCGGTTCGGTTCCGTTCGGTTCGGTTCCGTTCCGTTCCATCGCCGCGAGGAGGTCGAGGGAGCGCGGCGCGGCGCGGCGCGCGCGGACCGGCGCAGCCACCGCTTCAAACTCCCGGGGGCAGAGGGGAACAAAGAGAAAGGGCGTTCGTGTGCGCGTTCCACCTACATCCCTATGCGGAACGGAGACGAAAGGATGCCGCGGGGAGGAACGGGGACGCTGCCGCAGCGATGGAGCCGACCGATACTTTCGAAAGCGTGGAAAACCAGAGAGCAGCCTGCCAGCCGGTGAACGAGGGGTTCTCTTATTCTCTTAACCGGTTAACTGTGGCATTCAGCTCGAAACTCCGTCGAATCCCTCGCGTAAAATAGACGAAGGCAGCCGGTATTCGAACGGGAGAAGGCAAACAGAGTTGTATGTTTGTTGGGAAAAGTTAGTGTCAGCTTGGAGTTCAGGGTGACGTCTATTCGCCGGGCGCTGTTAATCAAGACTCTTAAGGGTTTCGTTAGGCTCTGATACGCTTGAGACCGTAGCTGGTTCTCCGATTGAACCTTCGTATCGAAGGGGAGGAACTCGGTTAACGAATGGAACGCGGAGTGGAGACGAAAGTCGGAGGAGGAAATGCTGTTACGTGGCGCGCGTCGGAAGGACTCGCGGCCGTGACGAAGCTACGGAAAGCGGCAGCGAAACAGCTAAGCGGAGATCGTCGATATCGCTCGTGAGGGCATCATTCCCATCGCTATAGGCGGACGAGCCTCGCGCAGCGAGAAAGGGGGAGGCGAAGTGAAACGGGGCGAGAGCCGTTCGAGGGAGTCGGCCAGTGGGGGAGGAGAGGCCGGGAGAACGGCGGCGCTGAGGGGTAAGAGAACGCGCAGCTGGTGGATCAATACGCCCGTCCGTTCTTGCCCCTCCGGGTTGTCGCGCGCTCCCTTTTGCAACGTTCCGCCCCTACGGGAACGTCTATCGGAAGATGCGACGCTCGTTTTCTCTTTCGCCGCCTAATTCCCTCGTAAACTCGTCTCTCTCTCCCGCC